ATACACATCATACTGAAGGAAATTCGACATGGCAGATATCATTGTCGATTTTCCTGTCCTCGGCGGTCCGAACAAGAGATAACCTCGCTTCCATGGCTTCCCAACTTTTCTACAGTAATCTTTCCCTTTACTAAAGCTAATCAAATCCTTCTTGATCTTCACAGGATCCATGGCCAATGTAGCAGGATGATCAAAAGGAACGTTTCCCCAATTAGCTTGGGTATAATAAGACGAGTCTTCTCTCGAATTGATAGTATAAATAAAGCTTCCTCTTTCTATTACTCAACCCAATCTCTTTCCCTTGTCTCAAAACCAAATCTAGATATCTCTCTACGATCATCTCTCTGTGTCGCTTACTAAAAGTTACCGTAAAGTATCTTCTCTCCCTTGAATTAGTCTGATTTTTGCTCTGCTCCACGCTTAAAGACCACTTCACCTCCACTCCTTCAAACAAATCTTCAACTTCATCGTCATCGTCCATACAAAAGCACCATGGATCCAGTCTTGCTACAGTCGTTGGCTTCCCAACTCCGAGCACGAGCAATCGAGATTGAGGATAGGTAATGGCGTATCGAGTCGTAATCCTGGCTTCTCTTAAGACCATCTCCGGTGTACTCTTTGTAGTGGATCGAGACCGGTCTCTCTCTAATCTTATCAATGATTCTTTCCATGTATGGTGGCCAAAACTCTCTGTAAATTGGAAAACCCATCATCGTTGTATCCCAAAGTTCATCCAACATTCCTCCTCCGCAGGTATCACAAAGTTCCTCCAACATTGGTACTGTAGTTTCAGTATTTGGAACTATCAGCTATACCGCACCAGGTAAAACTATCATATGTCTAAAATGTTTGAATGAATAAAACTAGTGTATTCTTTTGTTATTCGAAACTTGTTTATGTGAATACGGAATGGGAGGACAGCCATCAATACATGGTGATCTGTATAGCTTTGGGGTTCTCATTTTGGAAATGTTCACTGGAAAAAGACCGACCAATGAATTATTTGAGGGAAACTTTACCATCCACAGCTTCACTAAGTCAGCTTTGCCATATAGCTAGACTGACTCAGTTGTTTCTTCTTCAATTTTCTCAGGTGCTTTTCCTCCGGTTATCTACAATATGTCTTCACTTGCGTTTTTAGCTATACTTGGTAATGGATTCTCGGGTAGCCTACGACCTGATTTTGGTATTCTGTTGCCAAACCTCCAAGAGCTATCTATGGGAAGGAATCATTTCACATGAGCCATTCCAACAACACTTGCCAACATTTCGAATCTTCAAACGATTGGAATCAGTCGCAACAGTTTGACAGGAAGTATTCCTCTGAGCTTTGGAAAATTACAGAATTTGCAATACCTTGGTAACTCTTTGGGGAGCCACTCTCTTGAATTTCTTAGTGCTTTAACTAACTGCTCCAAACTAGAAACTTTATATGTTGGTCACTTGCCTACTTCCATTGCGAATCTGTCCACGAACCTCCACAGTTTAGACCTTGGAGCAAATTTCATCTCTGAAAGCATTCCTCATGAAATTGGGAGTCTTATAACCCTACAAAGACTTTGGTTACGAGAAAACTGGTTAACGGGTCTAGTCCCAACCTCTACTGGTAAGCTTTCACGATTAGTGGGTTTAAATCTCGATTCAAATAGTTTGTCAGGAGAGATACCATCTTTTATATGCAACATCACTGGGTTAGAGTTGCTCAACTTGTTCAACAATAGTTTTCAAGGAATCATTCCTCCCACTCTGGTTAAGTGTAGTAAACTGCGAGATTTATCGATTGGATTTAATAAGTTGAATGGGACTATACCTCGGGAAATTATGCAAATCCCATCCCTTGTTAACCTAAGCATGGAAGGTAATTCGTTGATTGGTTCTCTACCAAAAGATGTTGGACGACTTCAAAATCTTGTTGCATTGTCTGTTGCGCATAATAAAGTATCAGGAAACCTCCCACAAACATTGGGAAAATGTCTCTCGGTGGAACAACTTTATCTGCAAGGAAATTCTTTTGATGGAGCTATTCCAGATTTAAAAGGGTTGGTGGGTGTACAAAGAGTTGATTTGTCAAGCAATAGTCTCTCTGGAAGCATACCTAAATATTTTACAAACTTTTCCTCGTTGGAGTATCTTAATCTATCTTTTAACAGTTTTGAGGGAAGGGTGCCAGCAGAAGGGAAGTTTAACAATGCTACTGTAGTTTCAGTATTTGGAAACAGAAATCTGTGTGGAGGCATCAAGGAACTTAAACTAAACCCGTGCATTGCGCAAGCACCACCACTGGAGACAACAAAGCATTCATCTCTTTTGAAGAAAGTTGTGATCGGGGTTAGCGTAGACATAGCTTTGATTTTGCTGTTGGTCTTACCTTTATTTTCTCTACGTTGGTTCAGAAAACGAAGGAAGAACCAGCAGACAAGTAATCCAGCTCCTTCCTCATTGGAGCTTTTCCATCAGAAGATAAGTTATGGAGATCTCCGAAATGCAACAGATGGCTTCTCTTTGAGCAACATGGTTGGGTCAGGCAGTTGGGGTTCTCATGGTTGGGTCAGGCAGCCATCAATACATGGTGATGTGTATAGCTTTGGGGTTCTCATTTTGGAAATGTTCACTGGAAAACGACCAACCAATGAGTGATTTGGTGGAAACTTTACCCTCCACAGTTACACCAAGTCGGCTCTGCCAGAAAGAGTATTGGACATTGCAGACCAATCGATTCTTCTCACTGGTCTCAGAGTCGGTTTCCCTGTTGCTGAGTGCTTGACACTGGTTTTGGAAGTGGGACTCAGGTGTTGTGAAGAATCTCCGGCGAACCGGTTGGCAACGAGTGAAGCCGCAAAGGAGTTGATCTCAATCAAAGAAAGGTTCTTCAAAGCCAAAAGGACAGCTAGACGTTGAACTGTTTATGCTTTGTCCTATAAAGTTTGCATCTTATGAATTAAAGGCTCCTTCTGAGGCTTATATCATATTGTCTTAATAATGTGTGGTTTTGGTTTTCCTATGTATACACATACCTATGTTTTCAGAATATTGCAAGGGAATGCTCTGTTATTTGAAGACAAAATATGAATGTTGTGTTACCAGTTTTATGACTGATCATCCTCCATTTTTGCCTCTTCTTTAGAATTTCCCATCTTATTAACTTTTGGAATCCAAAGTTTTGATTTTCCCAAACAAAATTTGTTTGTTTGTAGTGAAACCTTTCACTATAATGATTTCTTGCGAATTTTATTTGAGAGAATCTTCGTTTTAAGTTTAACAAAAGGCATCTCAAAGACATTGCATGCAAATGTACAAAACAAAGTCGCAATTTCAAACATATCATAAGAAACAAAAATCTTTCTGTACAAGTGTATATGTACTAGAAGAATAAATTTGAAAATCCACTTGTGATCCTATGGAAAGCAAATAAAATTCGCAAGAAAATCATGTTATTATGATACTTGTGAACAATGTCACTTTGGTTCATTGCATATGAAAATCAAAGATGTAGCACTTTGATGTGTAGAAGCAAGTTGGCAAATGCCGAATTCGCAGATGACAATGTTGCTGCTAAGAACTTGAGAAACTTTCCGTGGCTGCATTTTTATGTATAATCAGCAATGTATTGTTTATCTATATCAATTTGGTTTAAAATGAAATTTATAATTTTGAATTTGAGTATTTGAGTCCTCTTACGGCTTAAGTTGTAATGTCAACTTTATTTTCATTACTAAAATGTATTCAAAATACTATATTGCTTATCAAAATTATAAATATGGACAATACGCATAAAGTTTTCAGTTTCAATCTTAACAATTTATTACATATTTATTTAAAGTTTTTTTGTAACTTTAATACGAACTTACAAATGGTGGCAAAAAACAAAAAAGAACTTACAATTGGTCACATGCAAGAGGGAATATCGACAAGTACTCTTGCCAAATACTTTCCAACAAAGTGACTTAGGGCATGTACAATGTTTGTTCTTAAGCCAAGTTTTTAAATATAAAATTATTAAAACACACACTCTCTTTTCCTTTTACTCAAC